TAGGTGACAACATGTAAGAGATGGAACCATGTAAAGAGGTGCAATAACTATTGTACCTCTGTACTTCACACTGACAGTGAGTTTGAATTTTCTTTATATCATAATAACGCTTACAAACATGAACATACGTATGATATCATGCACAAATTATTGAATAAACAATTTAAAAAAAAAACTTTGTATCAAATCACAATAAATATAAAATGGGTACTTAATATAAAAAAAGTCTCACCAACTGAATAATACCAACAAAAAATGATACATAAAGATATTAGTTCTGTGTCCTCTTTCCAACTCCATCTCATGTTACTTGTTCCAATTTGCTTCAGTGCAGCTGCTATAGCCATAAACAATGCATTCACGCGAAAGTACTCAACTGTAGATAAGACTAAAGTAAATGTATTTTAGGAGCACATGAAACTTGATCCAATTTAGGGAAAATCGAAATTGTTCATAAGTGTATACTGTGGGCAGCTGGCAAACAAGACCATCAAAATAACATTTCTGATTTGTTTCCAAAACCTAAGACACTTTCTAGACGCCATTTGAGTTTACTAACGTCAGCTTTAGTTCATCTGCAGATATGACATTGAGAACCATCAGCGGAAAAGGGACACGTATAGCTTTTTATTCATCAGTTGTGATGCACTTTCTAAATGGTCAATGTATTTTGACGGTGATTTCAAGTACTTTTAGACAATGTGTTGTTCATCTTTCTCAGAAAGAAATTACATTCTTGGTCCATACATTCATTTTCAAGTATTGAGAAATTAATTCAGTGGGTTGAGTGAAAAATGTTTAAATCTTATTAAATACTTTGTAGTTTCATCAAAAATGGTGTACTGAATCATTTTAAAGCAATAATTTTAACTTTGAAAGAAAATAATAAAACTGTTGAACAGATGCTTCACACTATCTCGATTTAAGTTTGGGATGCATCATTGCCGATTTTTGAATTCCCAACATCTGATTTAAATTTCTCTTTATTTTGTTCATGATTTTATAACAAATTTGCAAAAACTTTCTAGAAATCAACTCAGGGGTAATTCAGTAGAAACGACACTCCCACTACGTCATTGTATTATATATGTTGAAAGTCTTTGCGATTGTGTTCTATGGATGCATTATCTCTTTTTTTTATCATTAAGAGAAATAATATCACCAGAATACTGCCAGGATCAGAATCATAGACATCATGGCAACAAGTCTTTCCGGTATTTACTTTTCAAATTATCGTTCATCGTCTTCTTATCAGTTGCTTCCAACATGGACCATGCCATTGATAAAATACCTCTTTGTAGGACCATCCTCCTTCTCTATCTCCTTTTTTTGGTCTTAATATAGATATCGCTGCTTCAGTCCATTCATGGATGTTCAATCTTTGTCAATTCCCTCGCCAGGAATTACGATTTATTCCGCCTAAGAACTATAATTTACCCTCAATTCGATGGATCATGGTTTTTAATTGAGACCAGATTTATTGGAAGCACGATTAAAAACCGAGAGGAAATCTCGGTCATATTGAACCTCTGTAATTAATCCAATGGTTCTAATAGAGCCACAAGAATAAATTATGGTCGAGCTCTTTGACCAGGTTGGCAACGGCCCGTTCTAGTCTGTCATATCGTATATTACCGCATATGGGACATCTGTAAATTTGCTGCCGTTGATGGTTTGATGGATTGTGTCCAAACTTAGACTAACTCGATGACGACACTGCCCAGATGTTAAAATAGCACTGTTTTAAGACTAATAGAGGGGGGGGGGGGGGGGTAGGGCCATACTGGAATTGTAAATCGCACTGGAAATTTTGGCACTCCTCTTCTTTCTCTTTCTTAACCGGCCATCCAATCACAAATCTCCCGGCAGTGGTGCCTGAAGGGAAGGGCACTGCATGGTGTCATGGGGGAGGGCGCACCGGAAATATTTGGTGGATGTTATGCGATAAAACAAGGTCATAGGATGAGGGGAGGATGTGGGAGGGATCAAACCCATTCACTCTCTCAACCCCTCCTCTCACCCCCTCTCTCCCTCACACAACTCTCTCTCTCTATTTTTTCCCTTTTCTCTTTCTATTGTGTTTCCCTTTTTTTTTGTCTTTCGATTGGGGGCATTTGTCTATATACATGTAGTGCCATCAGTAGCTACGCCTCTGTCTATGGAATGAAAAACAAAAACAATATGTCTACCCGCCTCTGCTAAGGTAAATGGCGAAAAAGAAGAAGGAAGATTTATAGGGGAGAATCTTGAGACTGAAAATAGCATTGAGTATATTAGGCCAGGAGGAGGCGCTGTTCTAAATGGAAAAGAGGATTTGAATACATAGGGATGAATTTGTTGCAAATAAATCAGTGTGCACCATTGGACTTGCCAATATATGTTTTTGTATGCTTCTCCTTTTAATCGTTAGTTTATCTGATCATAATCAATGACTGGAAAATAGTAAAGACCAATCTTTTCTGACTACACAGAGTTGAAAACAGTAAAGGGATGCTCTTCGAAGAAAAAACAATCGTTTGACCAATTAATTTTTTTCTTCTTCACGAATCTATGAATATTACGAATTTATCGTCGACAGATTATAGTAGAGATTATCACAAATATCAAAATACCTCACCAGCTAGGAGAGTATCAGCATCGCATTTAGATTCTTAATTAATCGCACGCTCCTTAAGATTTATCTTAATCATATCACTGATACTCATGCTAATAAATTACGTATCCCCATTTTACGAAGTAATACTCCCAAGTGCGTTTATAAAAAAAAAAGACATTCAACGAATTCTCGAAAATAATAATAAATGCTCAGCTGATCTGTTTAAATCACAGCAGCCATATCGGGTTAATATTTACTATCTTCGAATACGTGTTCGAAATTTGATATGCTCGACTCACTCGTCTTCTCTTGATTCATAGCTCTTTATTAGACGATGTTGTCGTACTGAAGTGAATTTATTAGCATTAGAAGGCAGGGCCACCACTCGAGCATAGACACTGTCTTCCATTAAGGGCATCCTCATAATTTATTGAAGAAGAAAAAAATGACAATCGAACCCTTTCTCGTGGTAAAAAGAATGGTTAGCAGTGTCATATTATTAAAATTATGCAAGGAAACCCGTTTACTTTTAGACTTCGTTATATCCCCACTAAAAGAATTATTCAAGCCCTTTCGTTTTAAGGGAGGTTCTAATATAGTATTATCTTTCAAATGCCATTGGAAATTAACCTTTTCTTTTTTTGTTGGCCTGCAAATGGGACCTTTAAGGGTGAAAAGGCATCTTGGAATATTATAATGAAGAAATTGTTCAGGTCCTCCTTTTGGACGATCCTATAGGCACTTGACTAGGGGGGTAGAATAAAAGTGGGCCTGTGACCACTCCGCTTTCGAAATTAATATTGGCAAAGCCATAAAAACTTTTTATAACGAGAATGAAAATACGGAATACAAAGTCATAGTATCGCCGACTGAAGTGGGATCAAGGGAAAATTGGTTGAAAATAAATTAAATTTTATATTTCGGACAAAAGGGCGAAACGAAAGAAAATAACACCAATAAGGCTGGGAAATCTTGTTTCATCGGGGAAGGGGAGCTTTAAAAAATATGTCATATAGTCAGTCTCACCAGAAAAGGGGAAGGTTCAAAATCACGAAATAAGTGAGGGACAATCTTGATGACATTGTCACTCCCAAAATATTTATAAGAGTAGGTCTGTAGCGAACCCTCTGACAGCAGGGGATAACCGAGTCGGAATAGTTGCATTTAAAATGTGTAAGAAAACGAGTATACCCTACGTTTGTGCCTTATCCTCCATACGACCTATAAGGGAGATCTGTGGCATTGCCGTTCATAAAATTAGAAGCTCTTTCCCGCCCAAAATGTTCAGTTGATTAGATTCTAAATTGATGATCACTCTTTATTGATTAGTGATTGACAGCAGGCAAATTTTGACTGAGTTGGAGGGTCTCAAAAACAAAGAAAGCGCGTTCATCTATTTGACCTGCGTGACCGAGTTTGAAAAGCTGGTCTGATCGAGAGCCGCCATATTTAATTCAGCTTCACTACCTCCGAGTCTATTTGTCTGTCTCTAGTGCAATTGGCATGAATGCCATGGTATTAATAGGTGCACAGGTATTGTGTGGAATGAAAGCCTACTATGTATGGAGAAGTTTGACCAAAAGGTAATGAAGCAATGATGGAGAAAAAAATGTTTCATGGATAACGATGTCTTTTTGTTTCTATTCTTTGTTCTTCCCCCTTTTCAATCTGTTTATCAGGTTACATGTATGTACCTGCAGTGTTTTTAGTTGGTGGATACCTACATAAAGTCCCCAAAATGTCTTGTATCATGCAACTTGTTTGAACATAAACCTTGTGCGAAGTTGCACGACGACCGATTAGCATTTAAACACACATGTGAAGGTGCTAACGAATTGGTTATTTTGTTGTTGCTCGCTTGCATGTCTAACAAAGTTTTTATTCAAAATGTCGAATAGTGTAAATGACCTAGAAGTGAAACAACATATCTGTTGATCACGGAGGTCCCCGGGATTTCAATTTAAAAAAACGCGCCATACTTCAGTTTGTAAAAGTATATTAAATCTTTATTATGCGAATAACATGTAATAATTGTTTCACGGTAGAGGTTTACGGTACACCATGTGTAAAGTCCTAGAAGGACTAAGGAAAGTGGATGGAAAATAGAAGTGAAAATAGAAAGGCGAGAAAGTGGAGGTTGGAAGGAAGAGTATCTTTCAGAAGTGAGTATAGTCCTGAGGACTATACTCACTTCTGAGGACTATACTCAATTCTGAAAGATACTCTTCCTTCCAACCTCCACTTTCTCGCCTTTCTATTTTCACTTCTATTTTCCATCCACTTTCCTTAGTCCTTCTAGGACTTTACACATGGTGTACCGTAAACCTCTACCGTGATTATTCATACCACCATGCAAACCTTCAAACATCATCTAATAATTGTTTGTCTTTACTTGTTTTTCCAGGTTTTGTCCCAGTGTATTGCTATTTCTGGTCGCCACTGTTCCGTCCCTCTGGCTCCTTGAGGTGACACTCCTCAACGAAAGAATGAACTATGCCGAGATGCATGGAGGAGACTGCATCTCATTGGAAGAAGTGGAAACGAACAACACCCAGTTGGTGGCCAAAATATCTGGGGTAAGATTGATATATTATTTTAAAAATCTTAAATTTTCCTCGTCTTTTCTTGACTTAAAAGATGAATTGTATTGTGAAAGAAACCTGCAAGCAATGAGAGAAGATTGATTAAAACACATAAGGATTGCTGTACATTATGATGTTTAGGAATCATCAGATCCTAGAACATATTGACTTAGTTTTGCTCAAAGTCACACACACTGCTCACATAAAGGTTTATACATTATACCGTACATGGGACAACACACATACGTGGCATGACAGTTCGGTCCAAAAGTCTTGCTTAATTTTCTTCATATTTCGATTATGGGATCATTAGAAGAGGAATATATTTTCAGGGTACATTAAGATATTTCTCCCAAAATGACATAAAAAGAGCGAGAAAGCCCACAAATTATTTGTCATCCGAACTAGAACCAATCGCAGGCGCGGTTCTGAAGGAACTCGGTGGGTTCTTGGTTCCTCGCTCAGTGAATTAATTTATAATTTTAAAAAATGGGGGGGGGGGGGGGGCTTGCAGCTGACTAGATCTAACATATCTATTTAAGTTAGGTGATATACCTGATGAGATCAGTCAACTTGACGTTTTCTTGACCCACTGATCTCAACGAGGAAACTATCTCTTCTATCAATGCTCACCTTTTTGATGAGCAGTTTTAATAATGTACTTTTAAGATTCTTATATCATTTTATTTGTTCAGAAGAGCGTAGAAACAAAATTGCTGTATTTTGTGTGATTTGGGGTGGAGGGTAATCTCCGTATATCAATAATCGTTTAAATATTTTATTCACTCATTGGTCCATGATTGAAAGCGTTACATTCTCAGTCTTTTGTTGAAATGAAAGAGTGCCACCGAATCAAAATCTATATTCTGATTGATTACAAGTTACCGCACTATACACTTTTGTCATGGGTATGGAGATTATGTCAATACCATAGAGCCCCAATTATGCTTCACATTAGCATGTAATTGACCTTCATTCACAAATCCTGTAGGATTGTAAACACCGCAAATGAAATTTCCTCAATGTCATAATGGATCCTTTCATTAATTTTCTCTTCAATATATAGGTGACCTTACCGCTTATTCTGACCACACAGAGCTGGTCTATCGCTCTCCAACAAGCCCTCCTCTTCGTACTCATTCTAGGACGATGGCTGCTACCCAAGGGCGAGCTCACCAGGGACCAACTCTCACAACTTCTGCTGGTCTACATCGGCATTGCAGCTGATATTCTAGAATTCGTGACGGAGAACCTGAAACTTGAACAGGTTAAGAAAGACAATATTTTGGAATTATGTCATAATTTGGGTCGTTAAGGCTTTTCTACTCTGGGGACCCAATAGTTCTAGATGAATCCTAATGCTATTGCACTAACACTAACCCAAGTTGAAAATACGATCAGTATTACATGGGATCTATGTTACATTTTCACAGGGGGCGGGAGCTGTACCCTCTTGACCGAAGAATAACTTTTCAGTTTTTTAATTACTCATGGGAGCGATGCAAACGAGCAAAAAGGAAACTTTAGGCCTCCTATGGTTAAATGTTTATTGCGTCACCAGATAAAATCGCTGTCCCAATATACAACGAAGATTGCCCGAATATTGGTACAGCTCCCCCCCCCCCCCTCCTCCACCTCGTAGCCTATTATGGGATACCTGGGACGATACTGATAATATAACCTGGGACGAAACTGATAATATAAAAGCCCATTTTATGTGTCTCCAAACGCCCTATCGCCGCCCTTGACAAATTTCATCACCTAATATGGCTCTCACCTTCGCAAATCAGCTGTAGAAATTAGCACTTTCTCGTACATACATGAAATCAAATATCTAAAAAGGTTTTAATAATGCATATCTAAAATGCCTCCGTTCGTTCGGAATTCGGCAAGCATGCAGCACTAATTGATGCTGTCATCATAGAATGGAAGCGAGCATTCTCTAAACGCCGCCTAGCTCATGCATGCGGTCACCTCTAACATCGATGAGCGGCTCTCATAATCCTGTAATGTACTTGTTTAATTCGTCCCTCTCAGTGCCTTGTTCCGAAGATTTTTTTTTTATTTTTCGGGGGAATGTTCAAAATGGGGGTCAATTATTTTCATTTAGGCCCGTAATGAACATCTCGACCGCAATTACATGGGATTTTCATCAAGTGGGTTATCCAAAGATGGGAAACGCGTTTCCGGTGACCAGGGTAATCATTAGGGAGAGAGAGACAGAGAGAGAGAGAGAGAGAGGGGGGTATACATGCTATTAGAACGTGTCATGTTCAAGGGTACATGCTCAAGGCAAGCTCAATTAGAAAAGGAACATGCTTGAATGAGAGATGATTAATTAATGATTGAATGATATCAACGATGGGATTGGATAAGAATGTACTATTAATGGTACTCTACCGTTTTATGTGGTACAGGGAAAAGGGGGCTTTCGGTACTTTGGGGCAAGTGTATGGATTTCTACTTTAAACTAGCATGGTAGAAAAATTATTTCACTCGCTCTCTATTAAGCCCTGTCCTTATTGACCTTGGTCTTCAATATTGTACGAATTAATTTAATGGACTGACCGATTAGTCTTTAATTTTCAGAAATACATCTCACCTTGTTTTTCCCATTAATCTACAATATACATGATTTTACCGCGGTCTGGATATCAACAAAGTGCTTTTATTTACAAAGAAAAGGAAAACATTAGCAAGTGCATGAAACTGACACCATGAAAGTGTTTATCAGATATTTAAATGGAAATGTAATGCTAGGAGTCCACTGGGCCAGCGCCAGTTGGTGCCAGTTTGCGCCAATGCAATTTACTGTGGCGCCTAGTGTCGCCAATAAGGTGCCTAGTGGCATGTAGTGGCTCAAACTGCCTCCCAACTGGCTCGTGGTGGCCCGTAACGGCACCAAATTTGAATGTGGCGGCAAGAAAATTTCAAAATGTTTTAAATTTTCGTCGCGCCACTTGCATCGAGCAATCAGCGCCAAGTGTCCCCCAAGTGGCACCAAATGGCGCGAACATATCGCCCTTTGGCGCAAACAATCCGCCTATTGGAATCCACTGGAATGTAGTGGCGCGCGCCAAGTTGCGCCAATGACATGGCGCCACTTGGCGCCATCATCTCAGAATCTCTCATCATCTTCTGATAGCAGCATCATCACTCCAACATTATCAAAAGCCTCAGACATATCAAAATTGTAAATATTTAGTAAAGATGTTGGTCACAGCAGATGAGGAGGGTTTGAACCAGGTAGCTGATGGTCGGTATTTATATAGTCGACAAGTAGCGCCAAGCGGCGGCAAGTTCAAACCAATTTGGCGACCTTTGGCACAAACTAATCACCAAGTGGCGCAAAGTAGCCGTCTATTGGCGCGAATGGCGCCAACAGGGTGAATTTTGGAATCAAATGGCCGTGTAATGTAATGAACTAGCGCAAACTGGCGCAACATTTTGGAGCAAGCCGGGTGGCATTTGGCGCACGCCATATGGCACCCAGTTTATTCCACTTGGCGACACATGCCGAGCGGACATTAATTCGGCGCCACAGCGAGCCACTACGCGCCAATCACATAATCTTTGGCGCGAACTGGCACCAACTGCATGGCGCTGGCCCAGTGGACTCCTAGCATAATGGGTGGTAAGATGGGTACCGTGGCTGTGTAGATTAACTCGTACGATTTCGAATCACGGATGTCATTTGCATTATATAATTTATAATAAGGTTCTAAGGCATCCTTTGAATCTTGAGCGTCTTTTGGGGATATTTTGTTTGCTGATCATGTGGGGAAAATGGCTTTATAAATCCAGCTGTTATCACTTGAATTTTTTGTTCAACTTATCTTATTATACAGGTTCGCTGTAACCCTATCATGGTGGTGTGTATCCTGAGTCTGTGGACTTGGAGCCTAATGCAATTCACACTGGGTCTCACAGCTACCAAGGCCCGTAAACCACGTGTCGCTGGTACGAGTTTGCGCAAGAAAAAAGATGAAAACAAGCCTAAGGTAACTGAATATACCAGGAGCATTGATCTACGTTATATCCAGGATGGGGCGGGGGTAGTAATTTAGTAATCGGAGCACTAACTGCATATTTTGCACTTAACGTGATTGACGCCCCTCGATTAAAGTACGCCACTTTGTACAATTTAAAAAAAAAAATTCTTGTTTCTAGTGAGAGCCGTTGAACACGAGGCGTTATTTCGATTTCGTTAAAATCGAGCCTTTTATTTAAGAGATTGTTCACATTTTTAGTTTGCATTCACTTTTGAAATGATATCGCTCAAAATGACAGGTGAAAGGCCGCACCAGTCATGCACTGACGCATCGTACGTATAAAGCAAACGATGCCTCGCGAGCAACGGGCTTGATTCCTGCTTAACAGGAGGCGTCATTCCAATGCGTTATCACATTCACGAATCAAGCATGTGAATACAATCAGCACATACGCCGGTAAATTAAAAAAGATATTTGTACGATTCGTATTGCAATGGTTTTTTGCACGATATACCTTTCCAAGGCACGTCAAATGAAGCAATGCTACGTCAAACAAATGGCGCCTTGTGTGTAATCTGCATAAAGAACAAAGTTGTACCGTCAGTCTGTCAATGGATGACACATTGAATACTAGCTTCAATACCTAGCATTAGAATAAACATAAATTTCATTGTGAAATATAAAGAAATGCATTTTGGATATAAAATGACTACACTCTCTTAATTATTGTACCCTTTTCCTGGATAAAAGAGGATGCCAATCTGAACTAGAAGGTCGACCCTGGATTGAATTAGATTGGAAAGCATAATGGCGAGAAAAATTAGCGCAATGGATGTAATTTACGCGGCGGGTGATGACTGAGGAATATAAATCTGTCCTTGAGTTGTGATCGTTAATTATCTAAAAGTGACATAACAGCTGGTCCTAGGTCTAAAGTGTTTTTGTTTTGCTCACAATTAATAGATATGAGTTGTTTGCTTGTAATCTGTCTAATGATTAGGAGAAAATTAACCACAGACTGAGATTGAAGAGAGAAAGTATAAGGGAAATGGAAGAAAGGAAGGAGGAAGAGAGGGTGCGAGGAGGGGGGAGGGGAGGGGGGGGGGGAGTGAGACTGGCTAATAGCAATATTTATAGGCAATATTCAACTTTTAATGATAATTGATAAAAGAAGTTCAGTTCCAATGTCCAAGAATTGCCCTTGCCTATTTTGTGATGTCTTTTGCTTTACGTTAAATCTTGATACACCTGACATATTTCTCATAATGCCTCTTCCATTTTCGTTTCTCCTTCAATGTTTCCTCCACCTCTCTATCCAGGTTGCGTTCTGCTGTGAGACCGAAGTCTGGGGTATCATGGCAACCGTGGTGATGCAGGACGGTCCCTTCCTCACCATGCGTCTTTATCTCTTGACGGTAGAGGAAGCCGTCAATCACATGATGATCTTCTTCACTTGTAAGAACATGCTCATCATGCTACTCCAGATGTACCGCCTTTTCGTCATCTGCATCGAGCGTCCAGGGATGCAGGATTCTGCCATCGTCAAGACGGTTGGGAGGTACCGTGACGCAAGCAAACGCTACGTCAATGAGCACGCGGCCGAACGAAGGCGTCAGAAGCAGTTGCACCACGATCTCAGGTTAGTGCTGTAAAATAAATTTGACCTATGCAGGCTGCAAACGATGCGTGTATTCTATTGCGTTAATCAAAGATATTCAGACATAAATTGTAAACGCAAAGAACATGACTAGAAATAAATGGCCAAGAGGATCTACGAGACTAGAAAGATTTCGGTTACATCCGCAAAAATTACCATTGACGAAATACTGGCAAACCTGCTTCAAACGATGCTTCATTTTGACTGCGCCATTTTGCCGCTAATTGAACGTAGTTATATAGTGCATTTGCCAATAACTGTTCATTTTGCATTTACCGTTATTTTTTAAAGATATCACTCTCATATGGTGTGTCGAATGCCATTCTCTGACCCAGTTGTGCGTCAGGCAAATTACGCTTTGTGTGCAATGGATATAATCGCAAATGACCTGTCTCTAGGACGACAACATGATTGGGTTCATGACTCTATGGATAAATAATGGTCTAACGCAACTTTCGGGGTTTTATTTTTTGGAAAATCGGCGTTGAGGGAACTCTGGCCCATTAAGTCATTGAGTCCGGATTGAAAACTAGCTTGGCTCCTGGTGTGCAGATGATTCCATATGTTTGTTCGTTATTTAGGAACACCACCAAAAAAATCATATATGTGGATGAGGTCATGAGAATACAAGAACGCTTGATGACGAGATTTCTTTTTAAAATTGCGAATTAAATCCCAGTTTATCAGATGTTTGCGACTAATATACTATGTTTGGCACTGCATGTAATTCATAATGAGACTACATTCACTTTTATTAATCACAAATTATATCTAAAACATTGTCATTCTTTCAGGCTCCGTCATGGGGATCACAAGTCGAGTCCCAAGCACAGCATGTCCCAGCACCGTCTCATACCTGATGTAACGGAAGCCCTGACACCTGGACAAGCCATGCCTCTCCTACCTTCCTTCCCTCTCACACTTATCACTGGTCAACAACGGGGCATCGGCGACGGGTACGACGACAACTCCAACAAGGACCGTGATGTCGAGAAGCAACAACCAAAACCCGTGGTCGATAAGAGAGAAGAACTGTCCGATTACGACAACGCTATGAACGATTTCGACATCCATCCTGTCCCTTCGCCGACCCGGGGGACATCCACCAATGCGACGGTACATAACGCTCCTCAGTTAGCGTCGTTTTGACGTTACGTCAATGCTCTTTGATACAATTTGTTATATTCTAGGAGAGAGTTATACCAGGGAGTTGAGATCAGGGGCGTACGCAGGATTTTTTCAAGGGGGGGGGGGGGGGGGGTTTAAAAATCTGGCCCAAAATATTTTGCTCCCGAAAATTTGAAAATCGCGCCGGCCGAAAAGTCGCTCAGTGGGGGCGGGGGGGGGGGGGGGGGGGTGGGGTAAGCGGACACTTTTTTTTTTTTTTTTGGTCTCGAAATTTGAAAATTTGACATTTTTTTTCGTTGGGGGGGGGGTAAGGTCACTTCACGTTAGCCGTGGGCATAATTTTTTTATTTTTTATTTTTTTATTTTTTATTTAAAAAACAAACAAAATAAAATAAAAAAAACAAAAAACAAGGGGGGGGTTTAGTTTTTTTTTTTTTTTTTTTTTTTTTTTTGGGGGGGGGGGGGGGTTTACACACATAAAAATACCAAAGGGGGGTTGAACCCCAAACCCCCCCCCCCCCCTGCGTACGCCCCTGGTCTCATCTCCCTGGTTATACTGAAAATCGAATCATTTTCAAAGAATACCATATTTTACGGTCTGTTATCAATGAACATCACTCAAACAAGCTTACGATATTCTCTTGATGTGAAATTAATTGTATACTCTTAGTCATAGAGATAACAGAAAACCTTATTATTTCGAAAATGAAGTGGATTTTGTATGGCGTTTTATATCTTTCAATTTGTGTGCAATATGCATGCATTTATCGTTCACGCAAGTGTTACACTAGGCAACTACGGTGTCATTTCAGAAGTGTGTTATGGTAGAAAACAAAATGTGTTATGTTTATGAATCTACGAACAAGAATATTTTGTATTACAAACCTAAGATGGATTAGATATTCCCATGATAATTATATTTCATAAAAATTAACGTGATCGTGAAATGGACATATATATAATAAATATATTTGAATAGAAACTAAAGACAAGGTCCATGAGAGCAGGTACATGTTAAAGAATGACAAAAAGTGCTCGAGCCTCATCCTTTCTTACGTCTCTTAAAGAAAAGGCGCCGTTAAGGAGTAAAAAATCATGAAAGCCGTTGAGTACTGAATCATCTTATTCTTATAGGCTTTACACAGGGACCACCCGTTTCCCGTGGGCAATGATTTTAACTAATTTGAATAATGTACCTCTTTTAGCTTTTTGAATAAAATTGCACTACTTCATAGAGAGATGGCGCCCACTCAGAAAGATTACGTGTGAACGTGGATTCTTGCGTGCTCTGAGAATGACGGATTCGCCTTTTCTCTGGGTTATTCTAAATTATCCTCAAACGCTAAAATTAAGATAAGTTCTAGAAAATCAAGTTTTCATTGATGAAGAAGCACAGTTGCTACTTCATTTTCTCTTTGGAGAAACTAAGCAGGAAACCTTAAAGATAGAGTTGAGTTCTGGTCATGCGAATGCATTGTGTAAGAAACGATGTGGAATCGATCAGAAAAAGTTGATCATGTAGCATATTAAGTATTGGTGTGTACTGCAAGGTTCTTGAGTCATCAAAATGATAAGAAATTTCGTCTAGCCATTGTAAAATTATCAAGCACTGTACACAGAAAGATCTATATGGGACCACACAAACATGTGGCATAAAAATCGGGCATCATTTTTAAGCTGTTACCTGTCATATTTAGAATATGAAGAGCCATGCTTTTCAGAGAACATTTTTTCTTTGATGTTCTTCCACACCTGCATAATAACAATGATAACGCTTATAAATTATTTTGTCACCTTTCCCCAGAACTCAACCTTCTCTTTAAGTTATTAACAAGATAAATTATGTAATACTGGTTATGTCTGAAAATAGAGAAAAGGCATTCATCTGCCGGCTATTTTTTTAAAAATACAATATGTCATGTCAATATTTGTATTATTTTAATTCTGTGACGTTACATCTATATCCATATTTATAGATCATGCCAATATATGCAAGTTATTCTTTGAAAAGTGCATAATAGGACGATCTATGATCGGTTTACGGTGATTATATAGGACAGCTCTCATTGCTTAAATGTTTTGTTTGTGCAATTGTTATCGTCTATGATATTTGCATTTCGTACAGTTCTTTATATAGTGTATGCCTTTCCAGTGCCCTGTTTCATAAAACTTGTTACCAATAACAAATGCTTAAAATGATGATGTCAAATTTGCTCTCAGCCAATCAAATGCATCGATTTCAGTAGCTAATAACACTCATTGTAACTTGTTATTGAGAACAAGTTTTATGAAACGGCCCCATCTATATTTACAATCTAATAGACAGCTTGAGCGACTAACTTAATCTGCAGATATTGATACTAATATTAAGAGAAGTATAATTCCATCTTTGTTGCGAATGATTTGGAATTGCTTTTTTGGGGGGTCAATGTTGAAACTTTATCACACATTGGTGCCATGTTGTTTATGTAACGTGGAAGATATTATATTTCAAAGTGTTTATTGTAACTCGTAAGGATCTGTTTTATGTTTTGCTGATTATATTTTTCCTTTTTTTCAGTTTGATGTTTGCAACTATATATTGTGCATATTTTTCGCTGATATGATGTAAAACACGTGTCTTTCGATATGGAAATATTCATGCGTGTTTCAGTCAGGATAACTTGAATTATTGAAGAAAGATCACACTCTTTATCGTCAATAATAATGGTCTGACAGCTAGCTTAAGAAATGACACAAGGGAAAAATGATAGACAGGAAATTGCTAAAATCTAGATTTCTAGTGTTGGTTGTTATCTTGATTAAAATCTAAATTAATCGAAGCAATTCTACTTTGAACTTTGGGAACAACGCAAAATAGATTTTCGATAATTAATATTTTATTGGTGTTATTCTGAACTTTGGAATTTACAATAAAATGTATTGTTTATGCCAAACAAACAGTTTTTGATAACTTAGCCGAAGAAACTGTATATTAGACTATATTAATAACTGTAAATATTACGATACTTGCTTTCTAAGCTAATTTGAATAATAGTTCAATCTGTGGTCCTATGTTTATGTAAATTTGTTTGTAAAACAATAATGCAGAAAAGAAAAATGTACCCCCCTGAAATTGTCCCCTGTAGGATTAGTGGCAGTTGACTTTTTGTTAGGGTTAAATCAGTGGTAACAAAAATAACAATACTATTCACTTTTTATAGATGAGTGATGAAGTAATCATGAAGGGTGATAAGAGTAAAAATTATATATGATAATAAAATTGTCTTGATTCACGAATGATGAATAAAATGAAAGCTTTCAATTTATATCTATTTATTTCGAGTCGGTGTTCATTTTTTACCATTTTAAATCCATCTACACGTATAATTCACTGATTTCTTGGAAATGGTCTACTATCACCTGCCATCACCAACCATGATTATCTTAAGCGGCAGGTAGGAGTACCTCATGGACAACCTATACGGCCCTACCCGGACATAATTACTTGTCCCGGATCGTAGGAATTTGTATACATTAGCTTGGTTGATATCAAACATAGAGGGCCATGATACTGTTCATAAGAGGCAATACAGAGAGGCCTTTTTCCAATAAGCAGTGATGTGCCTATGGGAGGGGGTGGGGGTGGGGGGCCTCCAATCAAAGAACAACAACAAAAAGAGAGGAGAAGGAAACATGAAAAGAAAAAAAAAAAGTAACTCCCACATTCTCCTAAAATCAGTGGCATTGTTAATTCGCAATTCATTTACAAAATAAAAAGTGGTAAAAAAGGGGATTCCAATTTCTTACTGTTCTCGGAAGGAATGTCAAATGCCGTATACATGCTTGATGGGGACCGGGCTTAGCAATATGGGGATGCGCTCTCCTTGAAAATGGGGGGGGGGGGGGGGCTGGGGGGGGGCTGGGGTGCTCCTCTACATCCATCTCAGTTGCAAAGCCTTTTTCTGGCCATTAAGGGGCATTGGCATCTTGGGGCGTACTGGTAATATAAGGTGGATGATTGAATAGAAGGCCGCACAAGAGTGAGGGTAGGATTGCTACCCCACATTTCTCTCTCTCCCTCTCTCTCTCTCTCTCTCTCTCTCTCTCTTGTTTTATCTTCTCCTTTCTCTTTTGATGGACCTACCATGCTCTTTCTCTCTTTATTTCTTGGCTAGCAATTATGGGGCACGGGCTCCCACTCTAACTACCTTATTGATGCACCTACTTCTTGAACAAGGATCTGAAGAACGTCTTTATGATAATATCAAGGATCTTACCATCAGCTTTCCAGTGATTCTAGTGAATGCATCCAGAGACATCATCATGACTCGTGCCCTCTACGGGCTAGTCATCACCCGTGATCTGTCACTTTTAATTTCAGTGAGCCGTGGAACACCAACGATTGTTACATCACTCTACCTCTGTCCAGGCACGAAGTTATTAGTATTCGTTACCTTCCTTGAGCAGTTCATTCCATCATAGCCACCTCACTTAGCCAGCCACCAAGAATCAAAAGCGAAGTTGATAGTACAGGAATTAGTTTCTTCCTCTGAGATTGTGGATTAGGCCTACTCAACTTTCTGAGCCGAACTGAGCTTCTTTTCTTCTCCAACAAAATGCAGCTACTCCTTGCTCTCCTGTCACTCACAGCTCTCATCACCTCCAGCTGTAAGTATACACAAACCTTTTAATATCTACTCACGGAGGTAACAGGGCAATGATTCCTCCTGATCGTTGCACCCAAGGTGTCATCTCGACTGCGTTAATACCTATGCTATTAAGTGTATAGAGGCGATTTTGTACATGTGCCAGTAATTCGGGACATTGTTAACACTGTTCATTTTGAACTTTTAATTTAATTTTTAATTTTAATTACTGTCACATACCACGTTAAATGCCATACCATCTACTAACACACAGGGCACGTCAAAGAGCGTACCAGTGACAGACGGAGTGCTACGTCGGCTAATATTGACGCTTCGTGCGCAACAGGCATCAATCGAATCTACAAAATAAAGTTTTTTTTTCATACAGGAGCTTACTCAGGTGTTAAGTGAAACGATTGAAATCATTCATTATTTTAAATTTGAAAAACAAGATCAGGAATATAAATAATTGCTATTGGGAATTTTAAAAATATAAATATGAATATGAATTGCAATGATATATGTCATTTTCTGGGGCTTCTGAAGTTCTGACAACTTTTCTAGGGGTTTACGAGACCTTTTTTTCTTTTATATTTATTTGTAATTTAATCTGATGATAGCATGGTCAGTTACAAAATTGCTTTCCATAATTGCCCTTTTCGTCTATTAGGTATTATGTTTAGATAATTACATTTTAGAAAAATTAATTGCTTAGATCTATACATCCATCAATTAAGGATTTTAAAGGCAATTAAGCTAATAATGTATCAATGATGAAGTCGAATTTAAGACTTCGTTAAAATTACAGGGGGGGGGGGGTTATTTTATTACAAAAAGTTAGTAACAAACATTTATATCAGGATTTGATCACATATGAGCTTGTCGTTGGCTATTTAATACTTACTCATGTACGTTATTCTACAAACTAGATGGGCAAACTTCGTGTAGTTCGAGGTGCGGCGAATACTACAACCCGGCCAACCCCTGCCATTACAACTATATTTGTCCGCAATTCAGCAACTGCTGCCCAAACTAAGACAACTTATGCTTGGGTAAATCTCAATAGATGCGTACCATTCCAAGTTCAAGTTCAAGTTCAAGTTCAAGTTCAAGTTTTATTTCCATATCTGATTTTAAAAAACACAAGTACAATTTATATGCATATATATATTAACAAACGTTAAAATGAAACATCTTCAATTTAAATCATAAAGTGGTGGAGAAAAACTAAAGGCATTGGCCATGCAAGGTTATTCCCAGAGATAATAAAATTTACATAAAAAGTTTCTTAAATGTACTAAAAACGAGATAGAAATACAAAGATTAAAATAACACAAAGCATCAATATACAGAATTAAACCAGACAAATCTATTGCCAAAAAAAAAAGGGAAAGGCATTAATGTAAAAAATCAACTTATCAACTTCAATAAAATAATTTGTGTGTAGCTATAGAAGGTATAAAAATAATTCTCAAAAGGTTTTCCTTCCAGTTTTACTGTTACGGTTAAGAGGTATGTAGAAAATAAAGGATAACATTTAAACACCACATGGAGGGCTCGTAAGGAACCGAAGTCGGAATTGGCACATTCAGATAATAAATGCAAGTACCACAAAGCCCACTTTTACTAATGATGATGAAATACATTTTTCATCTGCGTTAGATATAATGTAAAGACAGTCCCGTGTTTCAATTTATTTTTGTTGTTTAATTCTTCTCACAACTTTATCTTGCCTGACGAAAATGATATTGTAACGTTAACTCCTTTCCCACGCTTTCAACAACAGCCAAATCCTCGACATTTTAATCATTCTCAATATAACACAACATTGACAGAAATGTCGATGTCGGGTTGCGTTACGGAAAACATGTTGGAACATACCATGCAGTCGGGCCAACTATCGTGTTTAGGAGAGGTGTAACTAAATCACGAGAATTGATACAGTGAATGATTCGTGTCAAATGAGAATGATAATACGACATGACAAGCAGATGACACCAGAGATACTAGGTCACATTTTACTGCCTCGGAGGGTTTGGGATGTGCGGACCGCCTCCCATCATTTTTGCCCTATGACGAGATGTGAAAGAAGTGTAAAAATTACTGATCTCATATTAATATTTAGTGATGAAGCTATGTGAATGACTTATCTCCTAAGTGGACATCAACACATACAGAGCATCGCTAAAACCTTCTTGATGTGGACAAAAGGACGGGGGTGTTGTTTAATTGTCGTTTTATTAAATAGTTTTAATCGAACTAAAAGCAATAATGAAAGTGAATAATCATTTTTTATAACGTTGGTTGTGTAATGAAAAATATATGAAGGTATTTTTAACCATTGTAGCTCCAAAGTCAGATGAAAGTACACATTAAATCATCCGGGTCGTCGCTAGAACATTCGGATTTTTTTTATTTATTTATTTTTTTTTTTTGGGGGGGGGGGACAGTTGTAAGGTCCAGCATGTCGACAAGTTCAAAAACTGTTTTTCAACAAGGAAAATGTTTTCAGATTTTTTTTAATTTGCTGACAAAAGGGGAAAATCAAATTAGTGACATTTTTCGAAAGGTCTTTAAAAAAATCTGCAAATTATGCATTTTGACAACAAGAATCTAAAAAAAATTCACAAACTTCACAATCGTACCTGCCCTAATTTCGAGTGGAGATGTAACACACATGTTCTCACCTTTGTAGACGCTTTGTAGGGAGACAAGGGCATCCCTTTATTGAATAAAACTATGGTCGAAATTATCACTCATTTTGTTCTCGGCATGGTAAAATGTGAATTCTTCCTAAATTATAGTGTTTTATTATTTTCCCCATAGCAATGTTTGTGTTTACTTTGAAGCTTTTCTAAAATGCTAAGTTAGAGATTCAGTTTCAAAGGTAGTGTTGATAGTTAACACTGATACAATTTGTAAACCGAAAGGATATATCAGCCGACTTTTATGTTCAATGTAAGGTCAAGACCCTAATTATATTTCGTATTTTATCGGTACATATTTAACACGAAATTGTGATATTGGACACTTATTTTGATGGAGTAATCTGAACCATTCTCCATTTCGAACGAAAATATTTCCATGGAGATTGAGTGTGGCCTGCATAAAGCTAAAGATCAAACAATAACTTCTCAAATTCTGTTCAGGAAAATGGGTCAAGCGTTATATTCTATAGAACAACCTTTTTCTTAAGAAAAGGAACGAATATACCAACACATATGGGATTAAAAGTGTGGGAAAACGAAATATTTCGATGAAGGACGTTGGAGAGAATACTATAGACGACATCTTCCTGATGAGACATAACATGAAAACAAAGACATTTTGTGGGGAAGAAATGTTATGGTCATATAATGCTGAATGGGAAATATATATGGCAATAAGCGAATGAAAAGGTTTGGACGAATAAAGAATTTTGTATAACTCTAGACAGGGAAAACTAAAGCGCAGTGGGAAAAATAATAAAATATTCAAAACAAACTATCATTATATTAAATATAAGGAAATCGCGACGTTTAGCCCAGCGCATGGTAAACGACCAGGAGGAAGAAGATGATTTAAAGAACGAAATTGTTTGGGAAAAGATCAGTTTTTTTCTTCTTCAATATGCTCGACGGTACCAAGACAACAGCTGAAGATGTTGCTTCAAAATCGGGGGAGTGATTTTGTCCCGGCGAGAACGAAATTGCCGAGGAATCTCTCAAATCTGTCAAATCAAAAGCTTAACCTACTTATGTATCCAGGACTTTTACTCCACATTGTCGCATCAAAAGTCAACTACAATGGTGGAGCAATGGTTGTTAGAGAGCGACGGGGAGAGAATATGGTTCCTTATTATCCTCGGAAAATTTTCTTAAAAATACGAGATTCAAAAAAGGTAAAAACTGGTTTAAGTGTTATTCGATAATAAATTAGACTTAAATGTGAACCGAGTGTTGACATTACTTCGCATTGCTATTTAAAAACTTTTGCGTTATTTTAAGAGACGATAATGTACTCAAGGGGGTTGCTTCCCAGTTTCGTCGAAATGAAAATGCTCCATTTGTATTAACCTTTAGAATCAGAATGTAATAAGTCTCTGTTGAGTATAATTTGCAAGTAGAGACTCTATATACCCAGCTGATGTGCGTCTATACAGAGACTTTTTTCCTGTGTAATAAAAACATTATTTATGTATGTATCTATTTTATGAACACATTTACTACTTGAAGAGGAAAACTTACGATAACTAAGTTACGATGACAAATGTCGGCCGAAGTTCACACACGTAACACCACCCAGTGGCGAAGCTATACGGGGACACGGGGCACGTGCCCCCTAGAATGGCGAAATAAAAACATAAACAAAAAAGAGATAGAAAGGAGGCTAGAGGGAGGGAGGGAGAAAGTGAGCACGAAAAGAAAACGACAGGACCCCCAACCAGTCCCCTACTCGACGATATTTTTAAATTTCGCTCTTTCCGATCCTAGTTAGATCGGAACCCCTCCTCCATGTCAGTGCCCCCATCAATGAGTGATTTCAAGTTTGGTGTTAGTGTTAGTGTTAGTGTTTAGAGCAGTCAAGAGCTCTTAAATCGAGCGGAAAATTTGCAGATGAAATTAAGAGCCCGATACTGATATCAAAATCGATAGCTTAACACCAGCCTTGACGTCACCACATACTTGATTTCACGACGATGATTTAAAAATTGTACATAAAAACTATAGATATCATGAAAAGTACAAAATATAATTTACACCTATTTTTCTGGTCTTATAAAATAACTAATTTTACACAAAAGAATATGTGAATTACCTGTTTCACATATTTTTATTTGATCGTCAGACAGTAAATTGGCGTCGTTCGTGCGTTGACTGTGTGCGGGTACAACACTAACACCGAACTGGAAATCAACATTTGCTTAATCCATAGGGGCTAGTGTTAGTGAATAGGACATTTGTACGTAAAATATTAACACCAGCCACAAAGGTCGGTTCAGCAGACGACTTGAGTGATTTCAAGTTGGGTGTTTAAGGGGTT